CTACTTGGGGTTGTTTCAAAGCAATTTAGCAGTAACCTGTGAAGAAACTGAGACCTTCAGTATTTATGGTTTGAGAGTGTTATTTGAAACAAACAACAACAAAAAAATTAATCCAAATTTAATTTGGATTAAAAACAGTGTACATACTAATCTATAACAGTACTGAGTTGCTCACTGAGGAGCCGAGTGAGGAAACTGAAATCCTTGTCCATTTGGGGAAAGTTAAATTACTGAATGTTGGCAAGGATTGTCCTGAGGAATTGGTGTCTTATACTTCAGTTTCTCCCCTCTGTTGACAGTCACTGGATTGAAAAATCTCCCTTGTTTCTAATATTGACATGGGGAACTTAAATATTTTAATTTTTTTAACATGATTTTGTACATCCTAATGAGAGTTTGAAAGACTGATTTTGCTTATAACTGGTTCTTTAAAAATGTCCTCTGTACAAGACTTCAGTGTCACGTGTGTTGTTTGGTAGTTGTGTACAACTCGGTTCAACCGACTTTTCTCATATTGAGCAGTAATTCAATAGTAAGGCTTTAAGGTTAACAAGAAGTTCGAGGACACCAAATGTTGCGAAGACTACATGCTTTGGAAGTAAAAACTCCAGAGTTTCCTTCAGAGTTTATTATCAATTTGGCTCATTCTCTGAGAAGCTTTGCTTCCAGCCTCGAATATGTGTCAGTGCACCAGAACTGCCCAGTGCTGTTGGGGCTTATGGAGCTGTGATAGACTGTGATGCTACATTTGGAGACTCCTGTGTATTTTCTTGTAAAAGTGAGGTGGGTAATAACAGACCTTGGTGTAACCTGTCTCCTCACATTGGACAGCTTTGAGTGAACATGAACATAACAACTTACCCCTTCAAAGCTATTAGAAATAAAGGAATAGCTTGATCTACTTCTTTATCCTGAATAGACTTTAACTGTGGGCCCTTCCCCTAAAGCATGTGATCCCATTTCATCATTTTTTTTTCTTTGTTTTGACTCTTCATGAGCCATCTCGTCTGTCATTATGTTTTGCTTTATTTTATATTTCCTTGAAGCCTTTCTGCCCCAGTACTGTACACAACATTCCAGGAGCATCAGTAGTAGCACCACCACTAATTTCACAGGTAGTGATGTGAGAACCACTATCACTGAGCAGCATTCCTCGTCCTTTGTCCCCACATGCCCCACACTGCCTCACTTTGTCCCCTTAAAGGTTGCTGTGGTCTGGTTGCCCTGGCACAATGCTGGAAGCTTACAATGATCCTCTATAGCTGCTTCATCCCTTTCTTTTTCTCTGCATGGTTCTCTGCCATCGCCTCTGTGGTGGTGCTGGTTTTCCCCACTGAGTAAGCATTGTCTGTGTTCCATACTTCATGTTTTAGTTTGTGTTGTCTGCATTGAAACAAAAATAACCAGATGGTATATATCCACCACTGGGCTTAATTAGCCGCTTTAAATTATTTCAGATTACTGATGTTCCCTAAGTGGTTTAGAGATGCCATTTTTATGCCTTCCTGCTAAGTTGTGAAGGACTGGGTGATCTCTGCCTTGCCTCTGCCCTGCGAAATGAGTTCAGCCAAATGTATCATTCAGGTTCTATAAACTTGCAGCCAGTGTGGGCTGACAAATCTTGTTGCCTAGACCTACACAAGAGGTTGTTTGACATAATCTGGCGGTTAAAAAAAACATTTTTCTTTTTCCTAGTGCAGAGACAGTTTTATTTAGGGAATGCAGGGGCTCGGTTATGCATGCAAGCGTTTCAGCATTTCTGTGTCCCAGGCAATGGCCTTTTACTGAAAAGATGTATCCCCAGTAGATGAAGAACATCAACTGAGACAAATTCGTAAAAATGCCGTCTTGTTTTTCAAGGCTACCAGAGGCCATTATAATCCAAAGCTGCATAGCACCATGTGCAAAAACCCTGCAGCCATGGGGTAAGAAGGCAGCTGACTGCAGACAAGTGTCTGTTTTTTAATGAGGATTAGTTAAGGTAGAGTTGTCATAAAGTGATGGCCTTGAAAATATGTTACTTTCTTTTACGAGAATGTTAGGTGTGAGGTTAAGGTGTGGTTTCATCAGTCCTCCTCCACCTTTTTATCTGTCTCCCCCATATCTCTCACAGTAGCTTAGTCAGCAGCATTTTCTTGCTTCGTTGGTTTTGAAAAGGACTTGCTGCTCCCTGCTGTCAGATTATGTCCAGGAGACTGTCTCAGGTCAACAGTCATAAGACATTCTTTGCTCAATTCTTTTCCCAGCCTAGAAAATGAAAGAAAACAAGAAAAAAACAACACCCAAAAAAACAGAAATTGGGGAGTGGGGAAGGGAGGCATGGTCTAAGTTACCTGGTCTCTGTATGCAGTTCCCATAAAGAAGGTGGTTCTACAGTGGATGTCTGAGTTCCTTGAGTCTGCTTGGCCAGTCTGGGACACCTGAGAGAGCAGAACTTCTAGCATCAGTTGTATTTTAGAACAGGTATTTGAACTTGGTAGTGCCAGTATCATGGAAATACTTAAACTGTAATTAAGCATTCACTGTCTGAGTGAGTAATACAAGCAAAGGCAATCCACATTTACCATCTCCCTTACAAATATGGGATAACAATGATGCCAGTGTTAGTAGTAAATGAGTAGATACGTAAAATGTGGAATTAGTTTGGATTTGAATGTGTAGCATGAAAAAAGAAAGGTGTTACTCACTGTTTTTAAGCTGTAACTCTGATCTTCACAGTATCTAAATGTTTGGATTTATAAATTTGGTAAAAACTCTTTGTTGTTTACAGACAGCACAGGAAGAACGTGTTGCAAGCTGAAAAAGGAAACTCAGACAGTTTATAAGCCACTGCTGTCATGAGGATAGAACTGGCCATCCTTGGGCTTCCTTACACATTTCCTTTTGGATTAGACATTATTTGGAGATGTGGAGTTTGAGCACCCACGCTTCTGTGGTCTAAGGGAAGAATTCAACGCTGGAACACTCCAAAGATACCTCCATGCATTGAAACAAAGTAACTGCAGCTGAGACCTGAGATTGTTCCATCTTCAGTGCTTCTAGGTCTGGATTAAAGAGTCTGCTGAGCTGATGCAGGAGGCCATGGTCTTCTGAGCTCTGTTAGACTGGGGTAAGTGGTGTCTTGACCAAACAATTTTATTTGTTGCTGTTAAAACTGTTAGTTAGAGTTTTTACATGAAAAAAAATCAGACTCTGTTGATGAAGAACTGCTAGTGCATAAGCAGCTCTGTTTCAAAAGATGTTAAAAAGTATATGATATTTTCTGGGACATAGTTTTGCTTACTCATACTTGGCAACTAAAGATAGATGTGCTGAATAGTTGTCTTTCTCATACATGAATAGAACGTCTAAATTATTCAGCTGTGGAGAATGACCAAATCTATGTGACTCTTTCTGGTCCAGTAACATACAATTAATACAGAGTACAAAAGTCTGCCTATTTTAATGCAAACAGAAGATGAAATTACATGAGGTGTATGTGTGCCTATACTTCGCAATCTATTTACCTGTTTGCTTTTTACAGAGAGTGTGAAATGAGATTTCACTTCTTCAGTCCAGGTTTTCTTGATTGGTGCAAACCTGTTCTCTTTTTCTCTGTAAGCACATATTTGTAGCTTTCTACCTCTATTCAGAGTATGAATAATCAATTACAAAACAGCCCCACCCCAAACCCTTAAAAAAAAAATCAGAATTGCAAAGAAGTTTATTTCCAAATACCCCAGGACAGCGAGAGCTTTTGAGCTAGGAAATTACATGTATTTAACATGGCTGTTGACTCTTCCATTGAATGAAAGCTGTACATCAAGAGAGATCTCTCATTAAATGATTACAGCACAAATTCTTCCTAGATTATGGAAGGCAATTTCCCTTGTTCTGCTTATGACATTTTACAGGTTGGAGAACTGAGAATGAAAATGTATCTGTGACCAATCAAAATATGAAAGGGGGAGGAAAGTTGCAAGAATTCAGTTAATACTTGCTCACATCCTCCATTCCCATGTCCCCATGTGTCCCCAAGCTTTGCATGCTTCCTGGAAGATGCCATTTTTATTACTGCATGTGATTTCACATCCTTTAGGACAAATTCTGCTAGTGTCAACGCTTTATGGGCTGGTTCGGCCCGGTTCCGTGACGAGCGGGGCGGAGGGATCCGCAGATCCTCACCTCCGGAAAAAAAGGAAACAGGGGACCCTAAAATAATTAAAACAGCAGCACCGATCTGAGGAGAAACAAACTAATTTACTAAGTATATTATCGGAATGCAAGATAACACACTATAATACAATATAATCAGAATGGAAGCTAATAAATCAAATATAATGAGAGAGAGAGAATGTCCGAAAGGTGGATAGGCCTCACCGCAATGCTGAGGTGAGATGCGCAGTGCAGTTGAGCAGCAGGGAGACGGGAGCAGCGCCCACGACGAAGGGCAGGTGAGAAAGAGAACTCAAGTGACCTTGCCAGGAGTTAAACCTCCTCTCCCTGACCGCAAGGTCCCCTGGGGAATGTAGTTCTTCTTCTCTTCAGGGCAGGTACCCAGGACTTGAGCATTGACAGTTAAAGTCCCAGTGCCCCACATGATGTTATGATGTGGAATACCAAAAACCAAAAAATCACAAAACCATGACAGCTAGCTAACAAGAAAACTATATGCAAAACTTGTCAGGTTAGCAAAGGCACAGCAATTTGGCTGGGCCATACAGAAGCAAGTGCATCGTAATGTATTGCATACTGTGCATTTTCCTTGCCTCCATTCCACTGAGTGCCAAGACACCTTCCTTGTTCTGTGGTCTCTGTGCTCAGATTGGGTTTGGTTCAGAGCAGCTGAGCATTTATCTGACTCGACTGGTCTTAATTAAGGTATTTCAGATTTTTCACCGATGTGTAGCCTGACCTGGCTCATCTACTTTGGCCTTGATTCATTGGGCCAAAATATTTAACAATTTTCACTTACTGTGATGAAGAGCTAAGAATCATAGAATCACAGAATTATAGAATCATAGAATCACTTGGGTTGGAAAAGACCTTCAAGATCATCAACCTAACCATCCTACCCTAACTCTAACAGCCCTCTGCTAAATCGTGTCCCTGAGCACCACATTCAAACGGTTTTTAAACACATTCAGGGATGATGACTCAACCACCTCTGTGGGGAGCCTATTCCAGTGCTTAACAACCCTTTCTGTAAAGAAATTTTTCCTTATATCCAACCTAAACTTATCGTGGTGAAACTTCAGGCCACTTCCCCTCGTCCTGTCACCAGTGAGAAGAGACCAACCCCACTCTCGCTGTAAGCATCTTTCAGATATTGGAAGCGAGCACTAAGCACCCCCCCCCCCCCCCCCCAGCCTCCTTTTCCCCAGACTGAACAGCCCCAAGTTCCAGCTCCCTCAGTCTCCTCATAGGCCATATTCTCCAAGCCCTTCCCCAGCCTTGTATATGGCCTCATAGGCCATATTCTCCAAGCCCTTCCCCAGCCTTGTTGCCCTTCTTTGGACCTGCTCCTGCACCTCCATGTCCTTTCTGTACTGAGGTGCCCAAAACTGAACACAGCACTCGAGGTGAGGCCTCACCAATGCCCTGTACCAATGCCCCACCAATGCCAAGCACAGGGGCAGGATGGTCCTGCTGGTCCTGCTCACCACCCCATTCCTGATACAAGCCAGGATGCCACTGGCCTTCTTGGCCACCCGGGCACACTGCTGGCTCATATTCAGCCCACTGTCCATCAGTATGCCAAGGTCCCTTTCCATCAGGCAGTTTTCCAGCCACTCCTCTCCAAGCCTGCAGGGTTGCCTGGGGTTGTTGTGACCAAAATGCAGGACCTGACACTCAGCCCTATTGAAACTCATGCAGTTTACCTTGGCCCATTGATCCAGTCTATCCAGGTCCCTTCTTCCTTCAGGCAGATCAACATTCCCTCCCAACTTGGAGTCATCTGCAAACTTACTGAGGGTGCACTCAATCCCCCCATCAAGATAGTTAACAAAGGTGTAAGTCAGGAGCCTTTTCAGACCGTCTCTGCCTGCTTGGATTCATGGCTAGGTTGAGGAGAATGCCAAGCATCCTGGCTGGCAAATCAAAATGTGTTATCAGTAGCACCAGAATAAATAACAGAATTCCAGGTGATAGTACAGTCCTGAACTTTTTAATCTGTAAAGCAAATCAATTTCAATACAAATGTGCTCTGGAAAATCTGTTGCGTTTGTAAATTTAACATGCTCAAAACAATCTGTTTATTGCAATCTGATCTATTCCTTGTCTGTTTCTGCTGCAGGATAAAACAGTATACAGACAGATTTTGTCTGTAGTTAAGTAGTTGTAAACGACTGTAAACATTCCATAACAATTTTTTGCAGTACAGTGAATTGCCTTGCAGGTGCATACGCTATAAATAGTGGAAATAGAGGAAAATGGCAGATTTTCCATATGCTCTGCACTGCTTGATATTTTAGGAATGCCATTTACCACTTTTATCCATTCATCTCTTTGAATTCCAGTCTCTCAATCATCACCTTTTCTCTCAGGACTGCTGTGAGGCTTAATTCATTAATGTCTGTAGAGTGCTTTGAAATTTTAGATGAAAGGGATTACAGAAGTGCAAAATATTAATATTAAAGAAAAACTGTGAACCCACAACTCTCTCCTTCTTTCCCTTAGCTCACCTGTTCCATGGTCTTTGAAACAATATGTTCGCTTAGGATCGAGGCAAATTCTTTTTTATGTGATGCACTGGTAACATGAGGTTGCAAATGCCCATATTTTTTTAATATTGATTAATATTAATTTAATAATTAATGTAATAATTTAATTATTGGAGGAAAAGGATCTGGGGCTGAACGTGAGACAGCAGTGTGCCCAGGCGTCCTCCGTACTCAGCGCTGGTGAGGCTGCGCCTTGAGTACTGTGTTCAATTTTGGGCCCCTTACTACAAGAAAGACGTTGAGGCCCTGGAGCACATCCAGAGACAGGCAATGGAGCTGTGAGGGTTCTGGAGCACAGATCTATGGGCAATGGCTGAGAACTGGAATGGGTCAGTTTGAAGAAAAGGAGGCTCAGGGGAGACCTTATGGCTCTCTACAACTCCATGAAAGGAGGTTGTGGTGAGGCAGGGGTTGATCTCTTTTCCCATACAATGATAGGATTCAAAGGAAATAGGCTCAAGTTGTGCCAGGGTTGGTTTAAGTGGGATATCAAGAAGAATTTCTTCACATAAGGGATTATCAAGCATTGGAACAGGCTGCCTGAGGAAGTGGTGGAGTCGCTCTGCTTGGAGGTATTATTAACAGTGCAGTGATGTTCAGGACATGGTTAGTGATGGACTTAGTAGTTTAATTGGATGGTTGGAGTTGATGATCTTCAGGGTCTTATCCAACTTTAATAATTCTATGATTCTATGATTCTATGATTAAATTAAAGTTAATGTAAAAAAAATTCAGAAGTTTTAATCTCTTCCTCTGTCTCACTGCTCCCCGAAAATGTGGTCCTTGGTTAAATTCAGCTGAACTGCATAAGCGTTGAAAGAGTCATACAACTCTCCATAAGCTTGTATTAGGAAATAGAAGTTCCTCTATCAGATTTACAGAGTTTCAGACTGCAGAATAACTGGCATAACACACTCCTTTCAGAACATGCGATTTGTTTCCTAGATGGAACTGGTTTCTCTATCCTAACATCTGCATTTGTTTCTGTATTTTCTGCTTTCACAGGATCACAAGATAACTCAGCTTCTTGCTATGCGTACGGAAAGTCCTCCCTTCCTAAGATATGAATTTCCCTCTCTGTTGTAGCCATGAAATAAAATTTGCAGTAAGTTGTTTTCTTCTCAGGCATTCACGATTGCTCTTTTAAGCCATACCAGGCTTCCCCATAGTGGTGTTCATTTTCCCCAAGAGGAAAGGTCCAGTTTCCTGTCTTCTGAGCCTGTGAGAAGGCAGACCTTCTGCAGAAGGTTAAAGTTTTCTCTCCAGTGCTGCTCACACAGCTCCCATCCGGGTAAAGCTTTTTGTTACTGCGACCTTTATTAACGAGCAGGATAGAGAGCTCTGTCAGTGTGAACCCCCACACCACCACCAAACCAGTGTTCAAAGCTCATCTAAAACATCTGTGATGGCCAGGATCTGGTTGTCCAAAACAGAGCTTCTAGTCATGGCTTTTTAAAAAGATATTGCATCTCTCATCATCCTCTTGGAGTTTGTATGACCCTTTCCAACCACAGCCAGCTTATTTCAGAATAATTCTTTTGTGGTGCTGTTGTGTCACTATCCTGCTCTTCCAGATCAGTCATGTAATGTCAGTAGAAGCCTCTTGTGACCTCCTTATTACACAGACAGATATCTGCAAGTCAGTTATGGAGGGTTGCTAGCTTGAATCTGTATTCAAATACTCAAATAAGCGTGTTTTTATTCAGATTTCCTTTTAAAGTTTTTCCTGTGTTACATATGCATGATGCTGATATAATCCCGAATTTTTAGTTGACTGTAAAATTACTACTAGATATTAGACTGGAGTTGTTTTAACACCACTTCTTCCTCAAAGGAAAATTAATCATTTACTAAACTAGAATGTTAACGTGAATGATTGTGTTGTTATGCATATTTTATTTAATTTTTTCAGCCTTCTAGGTCCCTTTCAAAAACAAGCTTAGCCAACCAAACTTAAGAAGCTTTTACTCGAGTGTGTGTAAATGTTAAATAAACAAAATGGTTTTGCTGCTTATACTTGCAGTATTCAGCTTCATTAAACATGTTTATATGCAGTCTGTAACCTTTTGCGGTGTAACAGGCTGGATGACTAACTTGTAAGACAGATTCGGTTCAGATAAAAGAAGAGATGGAGAATGTGTTCTGGAGAAATTGTTTGGATGTTGATCTCCCTAGACACTCTTGGGGTGCCCCATTCAGGCAAAATAAAGGTTTCTGTCTTGGAAATCATGAGAGGTATTCCAGGTCTTCAGTGAACTCAAGCTGGCTGGCTTTTCTTTCCAGGGAGTAGCAGTTAATAAGCATTTTGTATGGTGAAGTTGTCCATGGTTAGCGGTATCCCCACCGCCAAGTACGAATCCTCCCGTGACAACGCAGTTGCAAGCTGAGGCGTGGTGTGAGGTTTGTACATTCCACTTCCTCTGAAAGCCTGACAAAGGGTTTGTTTCCAATTAGACACCAAAGCCAGGCTTCAGAGGCCCAGGAGACAGTAACAGCAGAGAGAATTTTAAGAATGTCACATATGGCAGATGTTCAGGGAAGACCTTGGGAACACAGAAGAACAGCTGATGTTTGCTTTTAGCCTTACCTGCCAGAGCAAGGATTAAGCATGAGCAGATTGTGTCTTACCGCCTCTGTTTTATCCTAAAGCACGTTGGCCAGTACCAAGGTTTTGATGCCCTTATGCACAGTAAGTACTAGCTGAGAATAATGCCGTTGATATTGATGGAATTACAGCATAGCAAGATGCTACTTGCTAGGAAATCCTGATATTCTGAAAGAACGTATGTGCCAGTTAAAGGAGCGAGCAGGTTGTGTAAGCAGTATGGGAGTCATGGTAAACTTTGAGGCAATGGCTTACAGCAATCAGTACAAACCCCTGCCAATGGATTTTGTTGTAATAATGATTGATGCGGTCTGTGCACGGACACAAGCCATGGATACATTTGCTACTTTGAGGAGACGCGTATTTCATGGTAGTAGAGTGACAGTGCTGGGAATGAGAGAGGTGCTCACTAGCAATATGGTAGTTGATTGTGAGGGTTGTCTTCAAATACTAAACATAAGGCACTGTAAAACACATTCTCAGTTCAGAAGAAATGCTGTAGAGACATGGTTTTACGCTAGATTGTTCCAAATAAGCAGCTGTCCTTGCCAGCATTCAGAGAGGCATCCACATAAGTACTTCTTTCGAGAGACAGCCTACCCATGTCCTAATGAGGATAGGCCAGCCATAACTCTTCAACAACAGCTGCCCCTTTTCTTTCAAAGCTGCCATTTATATTTAACTTTTGAACTTTCCCTTTAGCCCAATGGCTTTCAGACTATAGAAGAAGTAAATTGGTGAAGCAGCTTCAAAGTCACTGAATATCTGTCTTGCTCCATTCATCAAATGTGCAGTCGATTTTATTCTCTGTAAAGAAATCTTTAATACTTGAACTGCCCTCCTGAAAACAAAACCAACCAAGAATGACAGTGTCTGTCTGCCAAAGAGGAAAACTATCCCCTCTAAGGGTTAATATGTCCAAGGTTGATCCTAATAATAGGAGTAAATAGATTCACAAGATGCATTCTATCCCTCAAAGCAACAACTCTTTCTAATGTACTTGCATTACAAAATGCTATTTTAAAAAGGCAAAACAAGACATTTTTAGGAACTTGTTGCCGTAAGTCAGAACTTATCTGAACATTCAATTTGATTAGCTATAGCCAAAAGCTATAAGGTATGTCACAGAGCCTGAAAAATTAATGAAAGCAGTACTATTTCAGTTTAACATCCCTGTTTACTAGTCTCCGAACACCCCTACCACTGCAGCCATTGGCTTCATTGCAGTGCTTCACCACACCCTGAAGCAGACTCGCAGACAGATGAACTCAAGAGTGTCCTGAAGGCTGTGAGAACACCTCAGGAAATGTTGACTTTTACAGTCTGAAGATCAAAGCTGAATTATCTGCCTTGAATTATTTAAATTCTTTAGATGATGAATTGCATGTATTTGCTCGTGTTTTGTTTTCCAGCTATGAAACTTATTTTTCACTTACTCCGAAGCGGTAGTTCTTTAAGAATATGAATAACAGTCAGCATTTGTAGGCATCTTCCACTGTTTTGTAACTGAACTTTCCGTGACATTTTGTAGTGTCAGAAAATAGGTGCTTGCAAAGGAAGCCTCATGTTTTAAAATGCCTATGGAGAACAGGGCATTACATGGAATTTGTGACAGAAGATAATCTTTGATTTACGGCATTTACATTTAACTCGGCGGTACCTGGTGTTCTTCCACACCAACCAGTGTGGCTTAGGAGACAGAGATCCGACAGAAACAGACTGCCGCTCCTCCCCAGCGGTTCCTTTCTGTGGACGTACCAAAGGTTCAGGTTCCGCCGCTCAGGCGCCCCATGGTGCTCGCAGGCGCCGTGCTGCAGTGTTCAGGTGAAAGAAGCCGTCGAGATCAGGTGTACGTCTATGGAGTCCCGTGTTAGCAGGGACTGAAGAGTCTTCAGGACTGAAGACTGCTAGGCAGGGGCGCGTGAGGATACGGCTCAGAGACCTCAGCTCTGGATTGTGGGGTGGGGACTTTCTTTCTCCCAGGACGAGGTGCGCCGGCACTGGAATTTGAGGCAAAATCGCCCGACGTAGCGGCCGCGCACCGGGCACCTGCTGCCGCCGCTCAGCGCCGTCGCCTGCGGGGGGCGGACCCTCAGCGCCCGTTGCGGCCGCAGGGAGGCGCTGTAACGCGGCCGGGCGGGGCGCCCCGGGACGGAGCCGCCTCGCGGCGGGGTGGAGCGCGGCGGCCGCACCCCGGCCCGCCCTGGCAGCGCCTCCCGCTCGGTCGTGGGCGGCCGCGGCCCCCGCTCGCCATTGGTTCTCCGGGCACCACGTGGTCGGCGGGGGGCGGGGCCGGGGCCGGGGGAGGGCGGGAGGCGGTTGTCCCGGTAACGGGAGAGTGAGTAGCGGCGGCGGCAGCGCGGAGCGGCGGAGCCGGGCGGCCTCGCCCTGCCCTGCGCTGCCCCGGGCGCGGCACTGCCCGCCCGGCCCTAGGTACCGGAGGAGAGGAGCTGAAGTTTGTCCCGGGGGGCTGCGGGGAGGGACGGGACGGGACGGGACGGGAAGGGAAGGAGCCCGCCGGCAGCACAACTCGTGGGGGGGCGTGGGGCGCGGCGGGGCCGGGCAGCATCCCGGCGGGTCTCCGGCACGGCGCTGCTCCCGGTGCTGCCGGGCGGCGGGGATGGGCTCCGCTCCTCGCTGGCCCCGGCTGCGTCCCGGTGCGGCTGAAGCGGCGCGTGTCGGTGCGCTGCGGGAGCAGGCGGGGACGGCGCTGCCCCGGGGCGCCGCTTTCCCGCCGTCTGCAGCTGCGGGAGGAGCTGGCGGCGGGGAGCGGCGTGGGAAGTGCGCGCGGTCGCGCTCCCTACCTGTTGTGCCGCGCGCGAGCGCTCGGGAGCCTTTCCCGTCGCTGCTCGGCTGGTGCCGGAGCTCTGTCGGCGGGAGCTGGCTGTCTGCGGGCGCCGCTTTCTGCTGCGTTCCTCAGCGGCTGCTGGGCGAATGGTTCTCTTATATCGTGCTGCTGCTGCTTAGAATTGCGTTTTTCGGTGCTTGCTGTGTGACCCATGTAGCTAAACATGTGCGCTTATCCCACGCTCAGCCAAAGCCCCTAAAATTAAAATCCTCGGCCTGTTTTGCTTTGGAACCTATTTTAGTAAAAGTACCTTTCGTGGTGTTTCAGTTTGAAAATCGACTGGTATCGGTTCTGCTTCGGGGATTATCCTGGGCTGTGATGTGTGAACTTGTTCTCCCTGCTCCGAGGAGCACAGTGCTTTAAGGTTGCCGAGCTGGGAACCTGTGGCTCCAGGTGTAGGGTTGCTTTCTGGACTCATGGCAGAACCTGCTCCTCCACATGTCCCTTCTCCACGTGCTTTTGGGAGGTTGAGCACCATATCTGGGTTTGAGGCCACGGCACAGCGCTGAACTTGGCCGTAGGGGCAAAACCACGATTCTGGAGGGCAGAGCTTTTGGGTCGATGCGTGACATGCTTGGCAATGGGGCAATCAGGCATGTGGTGTGGCGGGGATGGGCTGACAACTGGCCTAGATGACCTCAGTGGTCTCTTCCAACCTTAGTGACTGTGTGAGGCTTCCAGGCATCGGTCTGTGTAGCCTCAGTAATGGTGCGCAGGTCTGTCTCTCTCAGGTGTCTTTGTGAAAGAAGCCACAAAGGCAAGGTAAGGCATTAAACAGGAATCAAAGCGACTGGAGAGGTTTGGGTAGAGAGTGTAACGTGTACAAAATGCACAATTACTGTGTCAAAATGTGTCTGTGCTGTGTCTGAGCACTGGTGCAAAGAGTATCAATTCAATTCAAGCTGGTAAAAGATGTTTTTTTTCCTTGTCTCTTTTAGGTGTTTGTTTGAATACATAGAAGAAGATGATGACAAGCGTGCCTGGACAATTTTACGTAATTAACACCTGCTAGATGTGCAAAAGGCAATTATTGCTGTGAAGTGTTTACATTGATTTATGGGAGGAAGGTGGCCCAAGAGAGGGATGCTGATAATATCAACCCAGTGGATTAAATGCACATTTACACCTTTATTGACATATAAATTATCCATGCCAGGAATGCACTGAAACGGCTGCTGATGGGGCAATAATGTGGCACAAAGTACTGGGTTTGGATTCAGCTCTGTCATCCTTCTGTAAGGCACAGCAACGGGATTCTGCATCTGAGCTCAAGTAGGGAACAGAGGCTTACAGACTGGCTGTCTGTTAGGATAATGAGCAGTGATGGCAAGTGAGAACTTGGAAGGATGATAAAAAACGTGGCTGAGGTCTGAAGGAGTACTCTTGCTTTTTTTTTTTTTTCAAATGACTTTAAGGTTTTTGTTGTTGTTCATACTATGGATTTTTAGAGAAAGCTGAAAGAGGCCGGAGGAGTGTTTGTAGCTGGGAAATGGAACCTGGCTCTGAATCCAGCCAGCATCAGAAGAGAAAGCCAGTGACACATGGACTGGAAGATCAAAAAAGGGTAAGTGACAAAAGGCAGAAGGCTTCTGCTTAAATTGCTGCATGAGATGTGAGCGGCAGAAGAGCTTCTTGTAACTCTTCTGTCAATTACAATTGCTGCTAACTGTGCTCAGCCGGCTGCAGATCTCTTTTCCTTGTTAGATATTTCCACAAAATTGTTGTCTTCCTGTCCGACTCGTTGCAGTGTACGAAGCATACTGCAAGGAGTACTGTAGTGTGAGTGAGGGAGGGGGAGAAATCCCCAGAATGCTGGAGAGTTGTTGATGAAGAGGCTTATAATGAAGTGAGGTCTAGTGACTTTTGCTAAGTCTGGTTAGATCATTGATTTGTTGTGGCTTTCACTCTTATTGATATCACTAGAGAGGCTAAAAAATTGCTTTCTTGGGATCCGGCCAGTAACATCACTGGAAATGTGGCATGCTTGTCAGTGTCCTGATTGTCCCAGTGATAACGTTATCATTTCTGTATGGTTTCCAGACGTGACTCTGACTTGAAACAACACAAAACACACAATGGAACATAGGTAACGTCAGCTGACAGATCCTGTTTTGCGCAGGGGCTTTGTGGAAGCCTTGTGTGTCAAGGTGGTATTGTGTTGTTTAATAATAATTGATTGGCGATGTGTATTAAGTTGACCTAAATGAAGTTGCCATCTTGGGAAGAATGTGGCTTGCAAACAACTGAGACTTGAAAGTTGTTTTTTTTGGCACGAGTGAAGCAAATGATTACACTTGAAATGCTTGTACTGTGTATATAACTTGTGTTGTTTTCCCAGTGTTGATTTAAAAACAGAAACCCAGTCCCCTGTATTTGGCCTTGTGTGAAGAAGAGCTTCCTTTTTGTATAGACGTGTGTGAATTTTGTTGCATTTGAAATGAGTTGGACGCAGAAATGACCACCAGCTGTTTGAGATGCTGCCGAATATCGGTGAGAGGATCTGTGCGTCCCAACTTCTTTAAGTCTACTGCAGAATGACAGTGGTTTTTTTGTTGCTCTGTTAGAAATCAAAACAGCCAGGAAAACTTGCAGATATGAGATAAAATGCAGCTGTTTCTCAGATTTAAGGAGCACAACCATCTCAAAGCCCAAAATGTATTTCTGTTGCACCAAGCACAATCTATCAGCTGATAAGCTGACAAGGTCTTCCTTCTGCTTTTTCAAGGAAGTGTTTTGGGGCCAAAGTAAATCAATAAGAGCTGAAATAAAATCCTTCTATTGATTTCATTTCTGAAAGCTGCTCCTATTTTTTTTTTCCCCTTCTTTAAATATACGACTGTGTACTGCATATTGTGTGCAGTGGGAAAAACATTTGGGACCTAAGACACCAAAGTATACAATAATTGTTCTGATGCATCCAGATTAATACGCAATTATGTCTGCCTCTGCTTGCTGACAGGGATAGAAGCCTACATCTCCCATCTGCTCCTGGCTCTGGGTATTTGGTGCACATGTACTATGGGGCCTCTGAAAGTATAATATAACCCCAAGTGAGGCTCGGTGGCAGCTGGGATAACATCAATTGGTCATGCTTTGCTGACATTCATTTTAACTCGAACTCTAGCCGTCATGGAGATTATTAAATTTATAATGATATATGTAAGATCCATTTTAATGGCTCTTCGTGCTTGGGTGATCTCTCTCTCACTTCTGTTTGCAAAACAAGTCTTAATAGAGTATTACATTTCATTTCCTATTGTATTTTTCAGGGAGAGGCTACTGAGGAAAGCTTAGCTTAGGCTTGTGTTTACTGGGGAAAATATTTTTAGAATAAAATGTCGATACAGCTTGGCTGTTATTGTGGATTTGGGCAGTAGTATAAACTGTGATGTTCTTAAGCTTTGTGTTCTTTGCTTTCTGATTGGAAAAAGTGTGTGTGTGATCCAGAGCCAATAGAGTTAATCACCAGCAGGCACTTCTGGTACTGAAATAAAAGACTTGTGCTGGAAGGCAATGAGAGCAAGCTCATTTTAAATCAGACAGACACCTTATTTTATAGTGGTATATTTTATGGGTATTAAGTCAACCTTTCTTTAATATTTTTAAACTGCCAAGAAATCTGTGTGTATATACCAGCCAGTGATGGATCTGGCATACCTCGTCTAAGTGAAATAGCACGGAGCTGGGTTGGCATTTGTGGTATAGAAATAAAGTGCTTAATTTTGCTTTTTTCTTCTTGTAAGCATATTGCTAGATATCTACATCATATTCTATTGATTAGAGTGAGATAACATGTAGTATTTGTGTTGATTGTGTAGTGGTGTGAGGCTTTGCTATCTGTGTTTGTCTGATCTTTGAGAACTGGAGGTTGGATTGCTGGACTGCTGAGTTCAGGAGAAGCAGGTTTTTTGAGCTTTCTGTCTGACTTCAGAAGGGCTCTAAAGCTCATGTTCAGGGCATTGTGGCATCTAGCAGCACAACTGTTCTGGCTCTCATAAGAATTACAAAGCTGCATTCCATTCAGCTTGTAGTAGAGCAGTGCAGAACTTTCCCCAAGTCTGCATACTGTATGTGGGGGAAGCTGATGTGTGGCTTTTGGAGGTCCAGCTGGTGCTTGTGCTTTTTGGTGTTTTTTGCCTCTGTTTTCTTGTGTGGAAGCATGTAAACTCTGTACCTAACTTGCTATACAGATGCATATACGTGGCTCCAAAACCAGATGGAGTGCATCTGAATGGGTTTTGTGAGGGAGGTGTGCTGGGTTGTTATTATTAAGTTTTTTTTCAGTTGGCTCTTCCCAGACAGTTACTGCTGAAGGAGTCCGTCCCAATGTATTCTGGTTGATGATAATTGTGTGGTATGATGAGAAGGGGATTTCTCAAGAGCAGATAACAAAGTTCAAATAATGACTTTGCCTGATGTGCAGAAACTCTCTCATATCTGTCAAGTTGTGTTGAATGACACGTGCATCAGAGTAAATCTAGCTTCAAAGAATGCATTGGAGTGTTTCAGGCTAGGTGGGTTGGCGTGCTTCCATCCTGTTTTTGACTGGGGATGCTAGATTAAATTCTCTAGGTCATTTGCTTGATTGAAAGACTTGTTCTTTTGTTGATCAGGGTTGAAATAACTAACAAAATCCTGTGGTTGCTGAGTTGCCTATTCCCCATCTTGAGTAAAGCTTCTTGAGTTAGAGTAGCTTTACCCTGAATGAAGAATTTACTGAGGAATTTATACCAACTTCTCAGGAAGTGAAAAATATCAATGTATCAGCACAGCAGCTTTGCAAGAGAATGTAGCATGCCCTTCTAGACCATGTGGGTGTGTTTTGCAAATCCAGACTGCTGTAATCCTTCCATGTATGAACAGTCCAACATGAAATTAATGAATTTCTTTGAGTCAGTTGGTGCTGCGAAACAAACTGTATGTGTTTGTCCATTGCACAAAGCAAGTGCCTGTCGTTGCCTGTTATTTAAAAGATACAAGTAGGTAAGCCTTAAAGGTTGTTTTTAATTAAAGTATTTTTATAGAGCAGGCGTGACTTTCAGATAACATACACTAGAACTCATTAGTGTGTAGGTTCTTGCAGGATCCTTTAGAAATACGTTCATTATTATGCAAATGGATAGCCCCTGGCCTTGAAGTAATTGTTGTACCAAAGAAAATCTGAGCCACAATATTCTTCAGACCCTAAATAGCCAGGAACCTCATATTGGACAGTCAGATATTGCTTGTTGTGATGTCTGTGCCTAGAAGCAAGGTTGATATCCCTGAGGTCTGCTATCTATTTTGATATTCCTGCTGAAGGAAGCGGTAAGAAAGGCAAAGGGAATAGAAAGAAGGGGGAAGGAGTGCTGAGGAAATAATCTCTGTGATAAAACTGACTTATTTACTAATTTAATGCCTTATTGCAGGGCTAAGCTTACCTCAGGGGCCTTGCAGAAGGGGAGAGGCATTAGAGAGACAGACATGTATTCATCAGCGTTTATTTCCATGCACCAAGTGCTGGGGCTTTCTCTTTACTTGTCTGTTTCTCTGGTGTGTATAGTCTAGTTGGACAGCTGTGTTGTAAGGTCACCTATGCTTGCAAATTGCACCAACTCTTAAATATTTAAGGAAAAGTAGTGGCAACGTGGAGTAGCAGTGAAGCTACTGCATATTCTTCAACAGAGAGATTAAATTTGTGTTGTCTGTAGTGCTAGATCTACATCTACATACCTAGTGATGCAGTTTGTGGCTTTCTAAAATGTTTCAGTGCAGACAAAGTTTTGTTAGCAAGTGTGAGAGACATGTTTCCTAGCTACGTAGTTCTCTTGGAGAATCACTGTCTATCTGTGAAGGAATTTAAGTTCATGTATTATTTTCAAAGGAATGCTAACAAGAATGTCTAGAGCACAATACAACCAAGAAGTAAAACAGCCGCGTTACAGGTGAAAGCTGAGACAGGTGATAGCTTTGTCTCAGATTGTTGTAGGTTACCTATGTCTAACTTGGTGTCACTGGCAGGAAACTGCTAGACTAAGATATCTTAAGTTATTCTTCCAATCTGGAATTTGATTGTGAAGCAGTATCTTAATGCTATTAATGTTTTCTGTATCAAGCCATCATTTTCTTTATTTGCAGGATAAAACTGGAAGAAATAGTACATCTGTATCTCCCCTTGTTTTTTATTTTTTTTCTTCTGTTTTCCTGCACCACCCTTCCCCATCAGCAGTTCACTCTTTATTTCTCTTTTTCTGGCAATGAAGAGTAGCCCAGAGTTAGGACAAGGCACGATCATAGATGGTAATGGCATATATATTGCACTACAGGAGAGGTTGATGTGGTGCATGTGCCTAACGAAACTTTTCTTCTGTTCCTTCAAGAGCCTGCTGCAGCTTCTGATGGGAACCAGACCTGGCTTTGGGAGCCCGAGTTTGATGGGGAGAGGCTCCTGGGACATTCCCATATCAGTGAAATACAGCGAGAGAACGAGCCTTATTCTCTCCTTAACAGCAAACTCATTCATCTGTTAGAAGGGAGCAAACTGACTTGCACATGAGCCTGTCCTTGAAGCATTAGGCAAAAATA